ACAAAAACTTTGATTTCTCATGGCCGGTGCCGAATTATTTTTATGCAGCACATAGTTCTGTCAAATTTTTGAGTTGTCGGTACCATCAGCAGAATAAATGTAATTCCAATAGTATTGCCAGACTGTGATTTATGACATTAGTCTGTGGTTTCTGCTTTTAATTTATGATTTATGATAAAAGTGTGAGAAACTACAGACTATGCATGGACTATGCAGACACATACTAAACCATTATATTTCCTTGCTTTGATCACTTAAGTGTTTAAAAGAAATTGAAATGCATAACTGAATTTAGTAGGGATAAATGTATGTATTCAAAATTTTCAAACTAGTGGACATTCGCCTTATACTATCAAATTTCTAAGAAATTGGCAAAGGGCGATTATAACTCGTTGGTCAATTACAGTGGACTAGTCAAGATTATGTTAGAGTGTGTATGTGGGTGGGGTGTTATACTGAAAAACAATTTTATGTTAATTTATTTACAATTATCATTAACCATTATCTGAGGCTTTTATTGTCAGTAGGATTTACGGAGGTCACGGCTCGCAAGTTCAGCTGTCTGACCAATAGAGGTTGGTTCCTTAAACTAGGTGTCGCAGTGGCTGGCTTTAAAACCCAAATATATGTTACACGGGTAGAATGATTGATACAATTACTTTCATTGGTTCCATGTTGTGTTGTGTTTCTAGTCCGGTGTTAGTATCCAAAGATAAACAGAGGTGTTAGATAGACCTCGCTCTTAATCAAGGAGGAAATTATATCCAAACGTATAGTTTTAATTAATATTGGCTGACTTTCGTGCAGTTCTAACAGGCAGTTATCGGCACACTTTACTGATAAGTGTGTTAAGAGCATCGTTATGTTGAGACTTCTATTCCATAAACTTTCCATAGGTGTGCAGTTACTGCATAACTGACCAGTGACTAGTTATGAGTATGACTAGTCATAGTTATAATGACTAGTAAGTGTTTAGGAAATGCTGTTTGTTCTCATCTTAACTGCTACTCGTCTATGGAACTAAAATCGGTGTGTCACAATAATTCTCAAAGGATGTAGTGACTTGGTGACAAGTCCAACCTTTTTAAAATCTATTTAAATGATAATTAGTGGAACCCTATATTATTTTTATCGTATTTCCTGTGGAATATATGTCATCTACATACAAGAACAAATGAATTTACTTACAAATTAACTTAAAGATACATAATTAATTTTTAATATAAAAGTTTGAGTTACATTTTCGGGCGCTGAGATTAAATTATTAGTCAGCGTTCATCATCTCATATTTGCTTTCACATTCAGCGGCTTAAGTTCCTGGGAAAATTGTTAAAGGAAATGTTTCCTTTCATGCCTCAGAAATGTGAAGCCATAATCCTCATACCGCATGAGCTGTAAGCTTTATGAAACAAGACGCGTACAAGTTAAAATGCAACGGCAGGCAGACAGGGGGAAGAAGTGAAAACTGTCAGCTTAAGTTTCTGCTTTATTCGTTTCAACACCGTGAATACCGCAGAGTTTTGCATTAAAAATTTCATATGCATTTGACATTAAAAAATAAAATAAAAAAATAAAATCTAGTAAAATGAAATAAAATAAAATGAAATAAAATAAAATAAAGTGAAGTAAAGTGAAATGAAAGAAAATGAAGAATGAAATGAAATGCATTTCAGGCAATCGCATTAGGTTCGAGTTTTTAAAAGCAACTTTGCAATTGCAATTGCAGTGAAAAAAAAATAAAAAAAACTAGTAGAAAGGGACGAGTAAGAACCTACTGGTTTGGGGAATTTTTACTCGCTGCTTGTAACTTGGCGTGTAGCAATTGTTGCTGCAATTGTCAGCGATAAAAAGTAAGACACATTGAAATGCTACAGGTTGGGGCAGAAAGCGACGTTGAGGCAAGCATTTTTTATGAACTTCTTTCAACACGACCAACTGACTGACTATCTGACTGACTGCTAAAGGATTGTGTTGCATGCAACACAATGTGACATACACATATGAGACTTTGTATTCGTGTGTGTGTGTTGTGTGTCGCATACGTCCGTAATACGACTGTAATTGTATTTGTTGGTTTCCGTTTGCAATTTTTATTTTATTATTATTGCAGCAGCAGCATCAGGAGCAGCAGCTCCAGTTGGCCTTGTTAAATTGCCTTCGTCTGATGCTTGATTCAGATGTCTTCCATAGGTGCTCTGGTAATTGAGTTGCAAATGTTGTACACTTAAGAACCGAACAGTAGAATTGTCTGTAAATTGCTTTATAAAAATATCATTTGTGAGATAATTTATGAGAAAAATAATTTTGTCTTCCATATATATTCCTTTTATGTCTACCTGAAGTAAATGTAGCACTTAAAGTAAATAAAAAAGTGTTTTTAGGTTAAGTATACTATATGAGTTAACAGTATAATATTATTTTCTATATAATATACTCTAAACTTTAACCTACTAAAATCATTTCTTAGGAATAAGTGGATAAGATATCCAGCACTGACTTGGATTATAGTGTGGGAAATTTTATTTGAATACTTTGGAATAATATTTGAAATAACTCTGCCAAGGCTTCACAATGCATCCAATATTAAAAAAATTATTCAAAAACTTTTTGCACATTTGCAAAAATGCAAATAACTTAGTTAACATGTTAGCGCTGTTCCCGTAAGTACTTATAGTAAAATTCAAGTAAAAAGTTACTTGAATTTCACTAATTTTTGTTCCCATACTCAAAATCTGGTAATATGAGACTGGTTGTAAATGGTTCATACTAAAAAGAAAACAAAAATCGTTTGACATTATGCTTGGTTCATTTGATGTATCTACAGTTGAACTATTAATTGTATTATAACATAAGACTTTTTCTACTAATCACTGAATCAGTAATATGCGCAGCTATCAGTGAATGTAGTGAGTATTATGTGAGTAGTTTAATAATTAGTAATAATTTATTTACACAGCGCAAATAATTGTCATTTTGATTTTAATTTTTTTAATACCTGTTCACACGGCAGTTCTTAATTTTATTGACGAACTGTGTAACAAAATTTTATTTTGCTTTTGCTTAAGTTTGTTAGAACTATTCACAATATCGTTACATATTTGTACTATTGTGAATTGCCAGCTGAGTTTCGAATTACAATTATAGGAATGAATTGTAATTTTGTTTTTCAGATTTTCGTATCAAATCAGATGGTTTATTGCTATGGGATGTGTCTATGGGTCTATTGTGCCCGACGTAAATCTATTGTTGACTGTAATTTTAACTTGATTTTGTGACGTAATTAGTAAAATAAGCTGAATGAGCAAAATAATAATAAAAATTATAAATTTTTGTGTTGTGTGAATTGGTTATAAAATGTTTTCAGAAAGGGTTAAGCTAAATGTCTATGGTGTTCACACTTAATTCAAACCATCTGACTCATTTGCAATTAATATTGATATTGAATACCACTTTTTTAAGTTCAGAGCAGATAATTCTACAACAATGAGAAAATTTTTCATATATAAATTCAACTTAATAAATCCGGCTAAAGACTATATTAAGCGGGTGATCATATAAACAATTGAACATGATCAAAAAAGAATAGTTGAAAATATAGAAATCTGAAACCAAATGTGGTGATTAACCATCATTTCAACTTATATATTAATATGTATTTATTTTTAATATATTATAGAGATGTTGCAATTTATTTATTTTTTATAAATACTTTTAAGTGAACTGAAATTTATTGAAAAAAATATATTCTCACTATTAATTTTGAATACTAAAAACATATATGAAATTGTGCACTACTCTTCCTCATACCTTGTGAAGGAAATAGCAGGATGAAATAGTTTTTGTTTCTTTTTAATTGTTTTTTTATCATTTGCTATTAAAATTTTGAAAAAATCTTGAAATTGTGATGTCTTGGATATATTGGATATTGCTTTTTCAGTGGCCAACAAACAACCAAGATATTTATTATTTTGCGTCAGGGATATGTTAATATGATAATTCCCATTAGTTTTTAGACTGATATTAAGTGTCACTGTATTCGGTGGATGATTGCAAATGATTCGTTGAATTTTAGAATCCAAGCGATCTTCAATAAGTGACAGTCTTCTATCTTTACATAGCACACAAGTACTCGAAGCTGTTTTCAAATGATTTTTATTTGGTGCAGATTGTCTCTTACATCCACAGCACGCAAATCGATTCCTTTTTGGGGATTTTGCTCTGTTTTTACTGGGACTTCTTCTAATACTAGTACTTGAAGCGGTTTTGTTTGAAGGATATCCTTGTATTGATACTTTACTTGATGGGCTCGAGTGTAAAGGTAAACAGATTTTTATACTTGAAGATTTAGAATTTGCTTGAGTACGCGGTGTTACAAGCTCTCTGGTGTTTCTTTTCGGTGGTGGACATGGTTTCTTTGCGTATAATCTAGCTAAAGCCAATTTTTCACGATGTGCATTTGATTCGGATGCATGAGTCTTTCTTTTTGTCTGTTGTGAAGGTTTTAGTGGACAAATTTTTATATCTGTGGCGGAGCTCGTGGTATCCTTAGATAATTTGTCGGATTTTAACTTGGAACAATGAATTTTCTTGTTATTTGAACTTAGTAAGGAGTGTTCACCACCTGATGCATGCAACTCTTTATGTGTTTTGGACTTATTGGAATTTCTGTTGGCCATATTCAACATTTCAAGTGTTAACATATCTTTTTTTGGGGATTTTAAAAAACTTAAAATTTTGAGGTCTGTAGCAGTGCTATGAAGACATCACAATAAGACATGACATCAAAGTTAAAATTTTCTTATATCCCAGACATCTTAAACTGAATTGATTTATTATTTATTTTTTTTATTTATTTCAACATATTTTGTATAAAAATCTTAGATATTTTTTTTATAAAAGTATAATTTTTTTTTTTAATATATCTTGTCAAAAATTAAATGGATTTTCTAAAGCAACCTTAGATTAAAATTCTATAATTTTTATTTCTGTAACTTCTTTTTGATAAACTCAAGACATTCAAGAAGTTTGATATCTGTACACCTGAAAAAAGTACAGTACAGTTTCTCGCTGTACGGTTGTAATTGGACAGTGTGAGCAAAGGTACATAGTTAGTAGTGTACTGCTTAAAAAATTTTTGGCAGAATACATACTGCACGGTTGTGTGGCAACACTGACTGCTGAAAGTGATTGCAAGAAAGAATCAGAAAAAGTGGAGATTCAAATAATTGCTGATTTTTGTTCGATATACGCGGTATAAAGTGCATATATACGGAATTTTAAAAAATTGCATTAGACGTAATTTGTGTATAATAAGAAAAAAACATTAAAACACTGTGAAATTATAGAAAACAAAGCAATACGGATCCAGCTTGGTAGTGTACATACTTGTGCGCGCAAAATTTAAAAGAAGCTCTGCAATATGGATACTGAAGCGGTTTGTCACCATTTATTCAAAGTTTCCTTCTTTATTTAAAAAATCGAATTTTATGTAGCAAACACCAAATTACACGCTTAAATATACGCTTGCTGGCCATACCGAAGCCGTCTCAGCACTTAAGTTTAGTCCCAATGGAGAGTGGTTGGCCAGTTCATGTAAGTCAATACGTCTTTAGTTAGTTATAGTATGTATTTAATAAGCATAGCTTCATATAGCTGCTGATGAACTTATTAAAATCTGGGGTGGTTATGATGGAAAATTTGAAAAGTCTCTTTTCGGTCATATGGACGGTATAAACGATTTGGTCTGGTCGGCTGACTCTAATTTGATTGTAAGTGCTAGCAATGATGAATCGTTAAAAATCTGGAAATTAAGCACTGGTAAATGTTTGAAAACATTGCTTGGCCACGATGGCGTCGTTTTCTGCTGCAGTGTCAATCCTCAAAGCAATATAATTGTATCTGGTGGCTTTGATCAATACATACGTACATGGGATGTGCGCACTGGTAATACTTTAATTGCCCAACTCGCTCATTCAGAAACAATATCTGCTGTTGATTTCAATCGTGATGGTTCAATGATTATTAGTTCAAGTTACGATGGACATTGCCGTGTCTGGGATACAATAAGTGGGCTGTGTTTAAAAACATTTATTGTAGATGATGAAGGCGTTGAATATCCTTTGAGTTATGCCAAATTTTCTCCAAATGGAAAATATGTTTTGGTTGCTAGCTTGAACAGCACTCTGAAATTGTGGGACTACAAGCATGGTAAATGCTTAAGGACATTTACTGGACACAAAAATGAGAGATTCTGCATTACTGCTGAATTCTCAGTTACAGGTGGCAAGGTATTAATCCAATATTACAATAATAATAACAATAACAATTTGTATGTATGCACTTCTATTTATACATTTTATTTGCAGTGGGTAGTATCTGGTAGTGAAGATAAATTAATTTATATCTGGGATATACAAACTAAACAAATTGTACAGAAGTTAGATGGTCACGATGATGTTGTACTATGCACTGCTTGTCATCCCATCGCAAATATTATTGCTTCCGCATCCTTAAGTAACGACAAAACTATTAAAATATGGAAAAGTGATATATAGTTTCACTTTTTTTGGGTTTATTTACTTTGGAGATCTCATTTTTCTTTACATTAATAATAATTTTATTCAATATTTTAATTTTTACAACACATTATATGATTCATTAAAAACTGATATGCAATTTTTAAATTTTTTTTTTTTTTTTTGAAATCCATTTATTTATTACAATCTGTCAGGAATGAATGACAATAAGTAATATATATAAATTTAAATCGTAATAATGGTTATTACGATATAAAGAGAAAGGCACGTATGGACTATGCCCAGTGACATATCCATATATATTTAAAATAAAAGTGTATTGTCTACATATACATATTTAAAATGTCTCGCGATGTTTTTCTTCTCAGCCTTGTAAAGGTATTGGAAGGGGACATCAGTTGAGTAACCAGAGGGTTTGGGTGCATATATAAGCGTTGAGCGTAATTCTTTAAAATACTTGCTATTTCTTCCTTGATTGTTCGAACATGTAATTGTTTATGTAGCTGTTCATTCGTTATATACCAAGGTGCGTTTGTGATCATTCGTAGTGTTTTAGATTGGAAGCGCTGTATAATTGCCAGGTTTGAGTCTGCTGTAGTACCCCATAATTGGGCCCCATAACTCCATATAGGTTTAAGTACAGATTTGTATATAAGCAGCTTATTGTCGAGTGACAGTTTGGAATTTCGGCTGAGGAACCAAAATAAGTTTCGTAATTTAAGACCCAAGGCTTTACGCTTTTTGAATATGTGCGATTTCCAGGTTAGCTTACTATCCAGATGTATGCCCAAGTATTTTGTTTCTAAAGCTTGTGGTAATTGAGTATTGTTTATTAAGACCGGCGGGCACGTAGAACGTTTTGTAGTGAATGTTACCTGGACAGATTTTGATTCATTCGGTTTAATACGCCAGTTTATCATCCAGAGAGCAACATTATCAAGGCAGGTTTGAAGTTTGGTGGAAGCACGGATTGGGTCACTGTCAACTGATAAAATAGCTGTGTCGTCTGCAAATGTACCGATAACACTCTCATCGGTAAGGGGAAGATCCGCAGTAAATAAAAGATAAAGCATTGGTCCCATTATGCTACCTTGAGGTACTCCTGCTTCTATATCATGAAGTACTGTAGTTTCGTTTCCATGCTTAACGAAAAAGTGCCTAGCCGAGAGGTATGATTTTATAAATATGAAAAAATTTAGAGGTAGATACAGTTTTAGTTTGAACAGGAGGCCCTCATGCCATACTCGATCAAACGCTTGTGAAATATCTATAAATGCCGCAGTGCAATATTTTTTACCATCTATCGCACTATGGATATGTCTGACAAGTCTGTGAATTTGTTCTATTGTGCTATGTTTTTGGCGAAAGCCGAATTGATGGTCAGGTATTAGTCTGTTTTGTTGGATAAACGGAGTAAGGCGCTTTAGAAACAGGATTTCCATAACTTTTGACAGGATCGGAAGTAGACTTATTGGCCGATATGATTTGACGTCTTCTGGGCTTTTCCCTGGTTTCGGTATCATGGAGATTTGTGCTATCTTCCACTGTGGCGGAATAAACCCCCTTATTATCACAGCGTTAAATAGATGAGTGAGAAATACAAATCCTTTTGGTGGGAGCTGCTGCAAGGCCATGCCTGTGATTAAATCGTATCCTGGAGCTTTTTTTACTTTTAACTTTGTTATTACATCTCTAACTTCATTAATAGTATATCTTTTAATTGGAAGTTCCAATTGATAAGGCTCTTGTAGAAAATTAATCCGTTGATTCATGACATCAGGCATATTTTGGTTATCATTTGATTTAAAGACCTGGTCCAAATGTAACGCAAATGTTTCTGCTTTTTCAATATCGCTTTTTGCCCATGAGTTGTCGATTTTGCGTATAGGTGGTTGATAGACAATCGGTCTGTTGTTCTTTTTTATGGCTTTCCAAAGGGAATATTTTGTATCACATGAAGCACTTAGTTTTTGAAGGTATAGCGACGTGCGAATATTGTTATACTTTAAAAGAAGGGCTTTAACGAGTTTACACAGTTTGTTTAAGCGAGTTTTATCCGCAGGGAATCTCGACTGTTGCCAATGTTTTCTCATCCTACGCTTTTCTTTAATCAGGTATCTAATGTTAAATGGATAATCTAGCTTAACACTTTTAGAAATTGGTGGAGTTGATTCCCATGCAGACATTTGGACACAAGAGTTGAAATGCTCTACTGCTTCAGTTACGTCAGATTCAGTTTTTAACCTGACTTCGGTATTTAGACCAATTGAAATTAGTTGACGGTAACTATTCCAGTCAGTGTTTTTATTATGAAGAATACATTTTTCCATAATTTCACAGCAGTCATTGAGAGTGATTATTATTGGCGAGTGGTCAGATGACAAGTCGAAATTGGACTTACAGGTAGTTGTTTCAATACGTACCCCCTTTGATACCGCAAAATCAATTAAGTCAGGTATTTTTCTTCTATCTGTTGGCCAATATGTGGGTTCACCTGTTGAGATTGTGTGGAGGTTGAGTACAATTATTGCTTCGAAGAGTTGACGTCCTTTTGGAGATATTAGGCGGGAACCCCATTTTAAGTGTTTAGCATTAAAATCTCCGCCTACTAGGAACCTAGGTCCAAGCAGCTGAAAAAATGATATGTACATATCTTTCGTGATACTGTGGCGCGGTGGGCTGTAGAGTGATGAGAAAGTCATGTCGCCTTCTTTAGTTTGTACAACAATGTTTGTTGCCTGGATTTCATTCTTGCAATATGGTTTTGCTTCATAATGTTTTATCGAGTTCCTTATGAGGACCGCAGAGCCACCATTTCCTTTACCACTGGGATGCATTGTGTGATAAAGTTCGTAGTTCGGAATTTTAAAGAAACTACGCGTCGTGAAATGGGTTTCTGATACTAGCATTATGTCGACCTGTTTTAATTTTAAAAATGCTTTTATTTCGATAGCATGTTTTGATAGACCATTAGCGTTCCATATGACTACTACTAAATCAAGAATTTTGTTTAGTCGTCAAGTTGATCAGTAAATTTGTCATTACTACGATTTGTTGCATCATTTGCTTCAACAGTGATGTCATCTCACGGAATTCTTCCACAAAATTATTTGGAATTGGTGAAAGCTTCTCCTCTGTTTCGCTACTGGTGTTTGACTTCACTATTTGTGCGAATGTTTCAGGTGAATGAGAAGTCGTGATGTGTTTTTTGTTTAGCGAAGGAAGAGGATTTTCTTGAATTTGTACTTCCGGCGCCCTAGGTCTTAGTTGGGGATACATTTTTTTTTGTAGGTTTTTGTATATTTGACATCCTTTGTAGTTGGCCGGATGATTTCCTTCACATAGAACACATTTGACATCATTGGATCTGCTTTTCCTTTCGCAATTTACAGAAGCATGATTTCCAGCGCACTTGACGCATTTAGGTTTGCGGTGACAGTATCCTTTTGTGTGCCCATACTGTTGGCAGTTTGCACATTGAGGGATTTCCCGTTTCGGGTGAGGTGGTTCAAATGTAACTGTAGTATACAAGAGTTTCTTAACCAAATAAATATCCTTATTATTTAGGTTTGGTGCAAGTTCAATAATAAACATGGGGAGAGGTTCACCTGACCCTCTACGTTTAATGTTCCAAACGTTTACAGCCGTATGTTCATGCTCCAGAAGTGCATTTTTGATTTCATCAATATCGGTTGAATGATGCAAATTTTTCAATATAACCCTAAAGCTTCTCTCTGTTTTTGGTTTGTAAGTGTAGAATTCAGTGTTTTTTAACTCCAACTGCTTTACAATGCTTACGTAAGAGTCAGATGTAGAAGGTTGAACTCTTACTTGACTTGGATTTAGCACTTTTAAGTCGAATTGATTTGCCGCATGTTCATTTAACACATCTATTAGAGGCTTGATACAATGTACCTTATCAATAAATATAGGTGGAGGTTTCATTAATTTTGGATCCGTATCATTATTTTTTAACGATTCTTCAGTTTCTTCAGAGTCATCTTCCTGGAGATCTGCGTATCGGTTTGGTTTGACGGGTTCATTTAGCCAGTATGAGTCTAGCTTGGTTTGTTTTTGGCTTACTTGATGATTTTTACTTGGACTATCGCGTTGACGTTTTCGGTTATTAACTACTGTCCAAGTGTCGTTAACAGAGGTTTCGTTTCTGGTGGTTGCAGCTTGATTCGATCCTTTATTTTGGAGGAGGTTATTTTTTTCTTCATTATACAATTTTTGAAGCTGTTGTTGAAGTAGTTGAATTTGTTGTTGTATATTTTTCACCTGAACTGATTTAGCCTTTTTCTCTTTTAGATGACCCGAAGTCGCATTGCTTGACGCCTGCCGCGTGTTCATATTAGTTTCTTTGCGTGTATTGGATAGTATTGTTTCGTGTTGATTTGGTGAACTAAGTTTTATATTATCGTTTTTATTATTTATTAATTTAATTTTGTTATCGATGGCGATTTCACTAGCTATTTTTGTTATGCTTGATTCGATTTTTGAATTTTCTAAAAGTTTGTTTGGGGAATTATTTATTATTTTAGAGTCATCAGTGTTTAGTGTTATAAATTTTTAAACAATTTTTAAATAAATTAATTTAAAATTTATATCTTCATGTATTAATGTATAAATTTTATTAGATAAGAATGCCATATTTCCACCACCGGACTTACTTGGGCTCATCTTATTTTTGAGGTTCTTGGTCAAGACTTACCATTAAATAGCATTTTAAGCTTTGCCAAAGGTTCATGGTGGTTTTAAATCTCTGTGTTTTACGCTTATATGGTAACACAATGGGTCAATAGGTCTAAGTGGCTTCTTTTGGATAGCCGGTACAACCTAACCTAACCTAACATGTGTTTCTACTGATACCATTTTCATATATTTGGGAGAATCACTGTGGCTTACTTTGATGTCGTTATATAGAAATCGGACAGAATTAAATATATGGTGTGCTGGAGAGACAACTGCTTTCCATACTTAGATTATCATTATTAACTCTTACAATATCTTTACTACATAAATTGTATCTTTTATGTTAGGCTTTATTAGAAAAAGGGTAACTTTCCCTAGTATATAACAGTTGTTATACATAGTTTCATTTTTCAGAAGACACAAAGTATCTGGTTTGTAATCCAAACTTATTG